TCCCTCCCTCCCTCCTTCCTTCCTTCCTTCCTTCCTTCCTTCCTTCCTTCCTTCCTTCCTTCCTTTCTCTCTTTCTTTTAGTGGGACTTTTTGCTACTCTAACATTAGAACAATTTTTAAAGGTATGTTTTTAAACTTATTTTCTGAAGACCATGCTTGAAGAAATAATATACTTTCATAACTAGTATTATAAATATTTGTGAAAGTTGTCTTAAAAAGGCTTTTTTCCTTTCCTTTCCTCTCCTTTCCCTTTATTATTCATGAAAAGGGAGTCATCTCCTTACCTCTAACGTTTATTGATTGTTAGTGGTCCGGGTTTGCCGTTTCATCTCTAAATTTCCTTACTTTATTGGGTTTTTGGTAGGTTCTAGTTTTCTGGCTATAGCCCAAGATAACAAGTGGCAAACCCAAGAATAGTCCTAGAATTTCCCAAGCCTTTTACTTTCTATAAAAGTAATTGAGATGAAGAAATCTTGTTATCCCTCCTACCAGGATGATTATGGCCTTGTCTCCTAACAACCTCAATGCCCCCTCCCCCTGGCCCTGGATGTGGAGGGAGATGCGCACAACATATAATTTTTGTGCTGCTGGCCAGGGCCTGGGACTTCAGATGCTAAATTCCCATCAGAGGCATGTTCTGCACAACAGAGAAGGAAAAGCTGAGCCAGCAACATATTACCACTTGTAGAAGGAAATGCTATTATCAGCTGTGGAGATTTTCAAAAGGATAGAGACACAGAGGAATGAGGAAATTCCCTTGGACTGAGAAAATGTTTTTCCTTGGTTTCTCAATTATCTTATGCAAATTAACCTTCTCAAGAGTTCACTTTTTTTGGAGTAAATTTCTTCACATGAATTCCACTTGTGTACCCTCTTGGTTTTCTTTCCAATCCCCTGTAATTCTTTATCAGGCTCCTGTACTGCCTCCTAATTCATAGACCAGGGCTGGACATCCCATTTAGACATTAACCTTTCTGATCAGTCATAGCTATTTTAACTTGTTTGATTTTCTGCAAAGCATTTGCCATTGTTGGCAAGTATCTCCTTCCTCTGTTTACTAGTGTGCTACTTGGCACCTCTACTGTATCAGCTCTGGGATGTCAGAGACTCTGTCTTGCTTACTGTGGCAGAGTCAGAGACTAGAACCTTGATTGGTCCATCATAAAGACTATAGCTATTGAGTTAATAATTGACTATTAAAGTGAATGTATTTATAGATTTCAATGATGAAAAATAGCTTTTCTTCTTATATGAAAGACTATGAGGGAAAAGATTTTCATCGCAGTAAGAAGGAAGTAAGATTAGGGTTTAAGATTATCCTAGGGCATTTTTTTGTGCAAAATGGAAAATGTATATGTTTTGTTTTCATCAACCTCAGAGGGATGGATCAAATGTCTTATGCAAGCTGGATCCTTTCCAACTAGTGCGTTATGTGAACTTGGCTGTTTACCTCACATCAGGGTCCGCAGTGGCAGCATGCAGTGGCAGACGGCCATTTTTATCTGGGATGTTGTGCTTGGCACCGTTTCTGAGCAGACTCACACAGCCTTCAAGCCAACCCTGAAATGCAGAAGTGACCACATCATTATATAACACAAACTCATATAACACAGGCCAACAAGCTTTCTATATTGTTTTACTCCTTTGGTCTGGCTAAAAGCATGTTTTTATTTGAGTTGAAATCATTAAGGACCACAGTTCTAAATCAGGTACCTCAACAGAGAGCTGGAGTTCTTAAGGTTCAATTTCCCAGGTTTTCTGTAGGATATTTACCCTGTCAGATGCAGATTGATGGTAGACTCACTTGCCTTTCCCTTCCTTTTCTAGGACTACTCAACTAGGATTCAACTGATACACTTAAAATTCCCCATTTCCCACATGCCAAAGCATGTAACAGTGAGTGGTTGACCAGCCCTGGCCTCTCAGTCAGTGTTTGGCTTAACTCCAAATCATACTCATTATTGTCTGACTTGGGTGACAAAGTTCAATTCTTTTTTTTTTTTTTTGGTCTTTTTGAGACAGGGTCTCTTTGTAGCCCCCAGCTCTGACTGGCCTGGAACTAGCTATGTAGACCAGGCTGGGCTTGAACTCACAGAGATCCACCTTCCTCTGCCTCCTGAGTGCTAGGACTAAAACTATGTCCCACCATGCCCAGTTTGACAAAGTTCAGTTCTAAAAACTGGATTCCTGTGCCATTTCTGAGTCCTAGCCTGGATTCTCACCTTGTTTCCTATGTCTGATATATAGGCCTTGGTTCTTTATTAGTCCATGTTCTTTTTCTAATAACCTGAAGGATAGCATCTTATTTACTTGAGTCAGCCTCCTCCCAGGGCCTAGATATGTAACCTGAATACCACTTCAATAGCTGAGACTCTAATGCTAACAGCCTGAATCCCTAATATGTAGGTATCACTAGCGAGTTTCAAGGGATACCCATTGCAATGGTTTGCTCACCTATGAAGCTGAAGCTTGTGAACACCCTGTTGACTAATTGTTTCAATTGACACTTGATACCATCACTTGTTGGCCAACACTTCTAACTGGGTCATTTTTCCTGCTCATGTTAAAGGATCGGAATAATCTGACGCTAGCCTGCCCCAGATTTATACTTCTTTATTAATTTATACTTTTTTTTCTCTTTTTGAGACAGGGTCTACCTGTAGCCCCAGCTGGCTTGGAACTCACTATGTAGACCAGGCTGGCCTTGAACTCACAGAGATCCGCCTGTCTCTGCCTCCTGAGTGCTGGGACTAAAGGCGTGCGCCACCACGCCTGGCCAATTTATACTTTTTTAACTGACCTAACTTTTTTGATAATCTAGTTAGGTTCACATGCTAAGGAGATCTACATTTATCTAGAACTCCTGGGTTACTCACCTAGTTATAAGTAAACTGTCAGGCACATTCAGGATGAAACACCTGAAATTCTTACGCACCACTTCCTGGCCTCAGTACAAGCTAGATAACTCTGTTTGGCCAGACACTGGAACCTTAAACTTCAATATTTTGAGAGATTTAGAAAATTTCTGCCATCGTAAAGGCAAACCGTCCAAATTACCATACGTCCAAGCTTCCTTTGATCTCGGTGCTAATCCCTCCCTCTGGGTCCCATGTTCTTCCCATCAGGTTCTTCTGGCTAAGTCAGTTTTACAGGATCCCCACCCACCAGGGGCCTCCCCCCACTCCACTTTAGCTTTTGATCCTACCATAGCCAATGAACTGCCTCCGATTAGGACCCATCCCCAACCTCCTCCTGCTCCCCAGCCTGAGGCACAGCCAAGTCCTCCCCATGCTCTCCCCTTGCTATACTCTCCCTTGCCTCCCATTCCAGGGCCCAACCCAACTCTCCTTTCTCCAACTTGAATAAACTCCCTCTCTACGCCATGATCTTCCCCTTCTCCAGTGCCGCTCTAAATCCATCACCCACTCTCCTTCCACTAACTCTCCTCTACTTGAGGAAATCCAAAACCTTAAATGCCTCCTTACCAAATATTCCCTAGTCTCCCCTATTCTGTCTTCTAGCTCAAATAATCCATTTATCCCTCCTGTATCTAACTTCTACTTTGATTCCAGACCCTGTCTCCGGTACCTCTGCCCCTCTGTCCTCTCATGGACAGGAGACCCCCTCCCATCTCTCCCACTCCAACAGTTATAAAGTCTAAACAGGGTTATAGCACAGTTTTCCTTAATTGATTATGCTGGAGGTTGTAAACATCAATTCGATAATGTTTAACTATGTACCAATTGCTTTTTTCCACCTAAAGCAAGGTTTTGGTAGACCACTCTCTAAACTACATAAGGTAAAAGATTTACCTAGAAACTTATAAAACACAATATGTACATGGGTAATATTATTATCTTATGTATATAATTTAGATTCCATGTTCTTTTAATAAGACGATGCTACATCTTATGAGTCAAACAACTGCCATCTTCATGACTTCAGCTGTGTCCACTAACAAAAAATCATCACAATTGGACTTGTTGACTTAAGTATCTAATTAAAAGAGGAGGGGTAAACAGGGTCATTGGACCCTCACCTGAGTATCCAGCTGCTCTTCCCAGCCAGCTGTATGTAATTTGGCCATAATCACATGGTCTCCTGAGTTTGGGGAGGACTAAAGTACATTATCTGAAAAAGGCTAGGAAGAAAAGGCTTGATCCATGCTGGGTTAAGGCTTTCCAATGTAAATACTCTCAGGTCACTCATATACCTCAGCAACCCCTCAGTCATCTCTGTAAGCTCAGTAAATTCATTGGTTCCCCAGAAAAACTTTAATGTAATCAAACATTAGTTTGATACTACAACCTAAAAAGGGGAAAAAACAAACTTAGTATCCCCAGGAAAAGAATTCTTACAACAGATGAAAAATTTGTTTGTTAATGTTATTGTCTCATGGTTATTAAAAAAAGAAAACAGAAAACAGGAGGATGTTGGAAGGATATGAGAATGGAGCTATTTTTAAAGAAGGATTTATGTATGAAAATTATGATGGCTGGATATTTCTAGAATTGACAGAGAAATGAGAGAGCTGGGCAGGTGATGAAGGTCTGTATAGTGTTGTTACAATATAACAAGGATAATGTGTAGACAATCTTGAAATTTCTAAGGTCCTAGCTTAGTCAACTAGTCTAAGGATGTCTAGTCAAGGTTTACTTAAGGATGTTGCCCAAGCTCTGTCTACATAGCACATGGTAATTAATGTACCAGACTGGTGTAACTAACCTTGTTGGATGTTTGATAGCCAAACTTTAAGGCCTATATTAATCTGGTCAGAGGGACTTAAAGGGACAAATTTTTGTTCCTTGCCCTCCAAATTCCAGGGGCTATGGAGCATCTCTCAAAATGTCCTGTAACTTTGGTGAGTTGCCTGTCCTCTTGTTCAGGGAGGCCATGGAGACCCTAGAAGATGGACTTAAACCAGTGTCCAGTCTACAAAGAGGAGGGTCAACACAGAGGAAACATGTCCTCCATGCTTCCAAGCGAAGCCCCGGTCAAGCAGGGCCTTTTGACTTATCTTCACATAGATGGAACTGGTAAAAGAAAAGCCTGAGGAGCCAGGGGCTCCCCCCAGGCCCATGTGACCCCTGAGGACCAAATCCTCATATGACCTTAAGAGTAAAAATAAATTGGTTTATTTGGGCCAACAATATGGTGTTTAAACACCCAAAAGGAAAGTATAACCAAAAATTAAAGTCATCAGTATATTTTAAGGGTTCAAGGGATTACACAACCCAGACATTAAACGTAAGTTCTTATGTTATTTAGACAATTATCTCTCATTGATGACTTTGTTCCTAATAAGACATTACTCAGATGTAAGTCTTCAAATCTTGGTCTACAATACTGTAGTGTCCACTTACAGCAAGAGAGGCAACCACTATTATTCTAGCCTAAAAAATTAAATGATGGCTAAATCTGTTTTCTCTCTCCATCTAGAAGCCTTTGAGAGGTAACTGACACTGATTCTAGCCACTCCAACAGCTATCAAAATGCCTGAAAACAAATCCTGAGTCGATCACTCTCAAGTTCAGCCCTGGCAGAAAAGAAAAAAATATGAAAAATGAGCTATTACCTTGGTGCTAACCATTGCTCCTTGCCTCTTCAGATATTTTCAGGACCAAAATCCAAAAACTAACTCTTACTAATTTTAATCAGTTGTTACTTTCCTTCCCTCCACATGTATACAAGCTCCTGTCAACCATTGAGGACCCTGTTGAGATGCATGAAGAGGGAACCCCTGCTGTCTGACCAAACCCTAATCCAGCCCCCCCATGTCAACCCTGTCCAGCAGGAAGTAACAAGACGACAATGCCGCCCTGCATCTTATAACACAAAAGGCTGGAATGTTAAGGTTCAGATAGCCCTGCCCCCTCACCAACAGGGTCTCATGGACTTCTCAAGCTCCTGAGAAAAGGGAACCTAGCTGATAAGCGCCCTGGTCTTTGAAGTCAAGAGAAGCAGACTTTTCTCCACTGTTTGGCCAACACAGCAGGCTTCCCCTTTGATTTCTAAAGAGAACAGGTTTTAATAGTCCCACTCTCCCACATCCCCCGACCCAACTTAAAAAAAAGTACATCTTCCCACCTGCCACTCCCTTTAAGAAGTCACCCCCTTTAAAAAGACCCCAGCTCACTACCTGGGCAGACATTTTCCCTGCCCAGAAGGGAATCTGTCCCATGTGTTCCTTTGCTAATAAACTCTGCTTTCTCCTGATCAACCCTATTCATCATATGGCTACTTTTTATCTATCATAAACTAATAAATATTTATTAGTGATTATTAAATCAATTTCCTGCTTCCTTCATTTACGTATAGTTAAGCCTCAAAATTTCCCAGTTTGATAAGAAGATGACTGAGGATTTTCTTTCCATAGTACAATATTGGAAACACTAAAACACAAAATCTTAATAAATATATTGAAGAAAGAAGATACTGATAAGAACAGAACTTTTTGATTTGAAGGGTCTAGAAAATGTCTGCTAACAAAAGCACATCAAAATTCATGGGCTAAGCCAGGCATCCAAAAGTAGGTCTATAATCTCATCACTTGTAAGGTTAGAGACAGGAGAATCTGGAGTTCAAAGTCATCCTCAGATATATAGTAAGCTTGAGGCCAGTCTGGACTACAGGAGCCATGGTCTCATAAAAACAAAACAAAAACTAAAACCCCAACCTAAAAACCTTTATGACTTATAATATTGACTCAACTTTTATAGAATTGATTAGTAATATCTAAACTTTAAGTAGAAACAAGATTTGGGGGGTATTGTCAGTTTTGACTCACATTAAATCTCTTTCTACTTGCTAATGTCTAAGTCATCAAGTTCTCTGCTTAAAAGGAGAAAATATGATCAAGAGACCCAAAAGAAAGGCATGTTGGGCAAACTTTAGAATTGCCCAAGATTTACAAGTTTTGAAAAGCAGATCCTTTGGTGAAGGAAGGTTTGAAACATCTAAAACATTTTGCAATGCTTCCTGGAACTCCGTGTGTGTATGTGGTTTTTTTCTTCTTTTTTTTTCTTCAAAAAAAAAATTTTAAAATCAACAAAAATATTGGAAACCTTTGCCATAATTCAGAACCAACAAATGAATTTTATACCTATGACATGGTAGCTAATTTCACCTTTCCCTCCAGCTGTAATAAACTTAGGTTATTATTACCATACCTCAAAAATAATGATAGAGGCACAAAAAGGTGAAATGATTTGCTCAAGTTCACACATCTATACATTTATTTGCACACTGAATTGAGACTCAGTTTCTAAGTACCACTTTTTAAAATTTATTTATTTTTTATTTTATGTGTATGAGTGTATTCCCTGCATGTATGTAGGTACACCCATGTTGTGCAATGCCCGCAGAGGTCAGAAGAGGGTGCTGGATCCCCTGGAACTGGAGTTACAGATGGTTGTCAGCCACCATGTGGATGCTGGGAATCCCACCCGGGTCCTCTGCAAGAGCAGTCAATACTCTTAACCGCTGGGTCATTTCTCCAGCCCTCTAAGTGCCTCTTTTGCCAAGTTTCTCTTAACGGTCAAATGCAGACATTGCTGGCAAGTGTGGTGAGTTTCACAGCAACCTTCAGAAGTCTCCTCTTCCCAGTGAGCCTCAGCATAGGCACAGATGAGTCTTGCCTTGGGGACTCACACAGAGGCCAGGTAGAGTTAAAAAGGAAATCTCACATGGTGTCATGTAGGCTACTACCCTCACAAAGCTCTTTAGGATGCCTTTCTAGAAAGGGGTGCCTGAAAGATGTCATCTTTCTGAGCCCCAAGTCACCCCTCATAATTCATGGTCTACAGAAGCACTTCCTTCCTCATCCCTTCATATTTAGAAGTTTGAAAGAGATTGTTTGCTGTCATTGTAATGTAGAGTCTAGTTGTAGTCAACTTTAAAAACTACTTCTACCCAATTCTTCCACCCCTTGATCCAAATTTTTTCTTGTCTTCAACTGAGACACTAAAAGTCTTAACAAGAGAAGTAATTAAGGCATGTGCTAGAAGGAAGTGGACTGAGAGGGTAGTCACCTATGTACCCGAGACACTCAGCTAACACAGAAAGAGTAGTGGTTCCAAACTCAGTGGAGACAAAAATCACCACAGAGCTTTCTTTAGCCTTCAGATCTCTAACCTCCCTGGCTCCTGTACTGCCCCCAGAGTATCTGACTAAGGAGGTTTCAGGCATACCCCAGGATCTGCCTTTTAAACAAGCCCTCTAAAGATATTGACTCAAGAGATCTGTGGACCACATTTCAAAATATTCTGTCTAGATTTGTTTGTGGGTCCTAGAGAAAGACAGTATAGGAAAAAAAAAAAAGAAAAATGGTCTCAAAAGAAAATCTCTGTGGGAATTGGGCAATGCAACCTTGAAATCTCTGTGAATTGTGGCAGGAAGGGGTGGTGTGTCTGGGGAAGGGAAGGGTTTTCCATTAGCAGGGCACCTTAGTGGGGCTGGTTGACCACTGTTGACTTGCAGCGGTAGCACATGCAAGAGGCAGCAGAAACGTGGTCACGTTTCTGGAAAGGAAGAAAAGCAATAGAAGCCTCATACATGGTGGGTAGGACTTGTCTGACATGAACTCAAGGCAGTCCTGGGAGCTTGCATAAAGATCGCAAACATTTGTTAGGAGAGGGCTAAAGATTTTCAGTAAGTCTTAACCAAGCTAGGTCTGATGTTGGGCAATGCTGAACTGAAATCTGGAGTAGGGAATGACATTACAGTTTCTAATTTGAGTGCTATGAACTGAGTGTTTCATTTGGTGTTGCCTCTGCATGTATGTATGTCTGTCCCCTACTCCCGAGTCATCTCGCCCTCCCCAGTTCTCATCATTTTTCACATTTCTCAGCCTGGAGCTTCTACTCCATTAATCCTCAACTAATCCCACTCCAAAGAAGTCACCTGAATCTTCAAAGCATTACCACCCTCTCAGGGTTATTTATGGTACCCTTGTCAGAATGGTCAGAAGTGTCCCAAGGGACATTCTGATGTTGTTCAGATAGAAAAGAACATTCCTCTGATGGTGGTATTTCCTCTATCTTAACTTGTGAAGGGTCCACATAAGTCTTGAAGATCGTGAGTAAAGCCTCAAGTTCCATTCTCATCAGCTACTGCATCAGTCCAGGAGCACTGTTCTTCGAGTAGACTCCACATGACCTCTTTAGCCCTCCTGCTCCACAGCCCCTTTAGCAGACACAAATTGGTACCAGGTAGGTTGCCAGGCATAAACTCGTGCGGCCATATGCATCCTGCGTGTTAATGTTGGCACCCATCTTCAACAGCAGCTTCACTGTATCCACTTGACGTCCAGAAACTGCATGCATCAAAGGTGTACATCCTGGAATGAGACATTTCAACAGCCTTTAAAAATGTTTGACTTATGAGATTTATGAGCAGTCTTTATTTTCCTGTTCATTTTACTTTTTCTTTGCAGCATAAAGCCAGCTGTTGAACTGTGTGGTACTGAAGAGAGATGAACATGACTGTTGCTATGTTTATATAAGTGATATATTTCTTTCTGGTGTATTTTTTTCAGTTATCCATAAATCTGCAGTAGTTGGTTGATTAAAACACTTTGGGCAGATGATCAAAACTGCTTATGGTTGCCTCAGGAATATGAGATTTCAGATCTAACAGGTTCCTACTGACTAGGTTAAGTAATGCAGAACCTCGAAGTGCCTTTGGAAAGCAACTCCAGCTAGCAGACAGTACATTTTTACTGGAGGTAGTTGGTAAAGCTGGGTGGTAGCCTAGCCTTGGGTTGCATAAATTCTCACTAAAAGGATCCATCTGTGCTAAATCTTTCTTCTCTTTCAGAATCAATACAGCCAAAGGGGTTTGGCTTTAAAGTGTGTTTTCTTTCTGAATAAAAATAGAGATGAAATGATGTGGTTTGAACAACTTTGTAGGGCTGTTGGAACAAACGAGGTATGTCACATTCCTTCAGGCTAAGAGACCAAAGCACAGGTACAACTTCTTGCCCAACTGATATATTTAGGTGGTGTTGAGCTGGAGATTTGTGTTGAGATTCTGATTCTTTGGATAAATTGAAAGCTGTGGTTCTCAGAGAGCCCTGAGAATGAATGGATCTATGGACTGCTCTTCTCACTGAAAGATGTCAGCTGGCAGCCCAAGAGCCCTCTCTGCTAAGATTTTTTTAGGCATTTGGGATGGGTGATGCAGCAATGAATTGCTATCTTAAAACAGTGGCAAAAATTCCCTCCCTCCTTCCTTCTTCCCTCCCCTGCTTCCTCCCATTCTCCCTTTCTGTCCACAAGTGGCAGTTGTAACCGTCGGAGAGGGAAAAAGGACATAATGAAAAAATTATTGAAGGAATTTGTGACTCTGAAATGGTCATTAAATAAAGCAACTGGATTTATAGATACTATTTTCCTAAAATTACATGCTTTGTTTGGCTTAGTTTATACCTATCTTGAGATCCTAGTTTCTATACCCATTTCATCAGGAAATGAAAAGGGGAGAATTATCGTTAACGGCCCAAGATTTATTATAAAGTTATGGCAACTAAAACAATAAATAGCTCAGTAGTTGAGAAAAGAGAATCCAGGAGATACTCAGTCCTGTATAGTATGATTTAAGTGAATTATGCATGGGTAGGGGGCAAAGGTGTTTAATAAACATGTACTGACAAATTGGCTGCCCGTAAAGGGTAAATTAAAATAGGTCCAGACTCCCTACCACACATGAACATAATACAGATGGATTAGAGACCAAACATGAAAAGCAAGATAAAACAATTCTGAAAGAAAACAGAAAATACCCTTATAATCTTAAAGGTTGACAAAGCCTTATTGAAGAAGATAAAAACTAAAAACTGTGAGGGAAATACCTTATTAGAGTCTATCTATAGTACATATATCCATATGTACTATAAACTTCTATAGTACATATATCCATAAACAAAATTCAAGGCTAGATACATAATGGCAATTTTTTTTTTGTTTTAGTTAATAATAATTTTTTTTTTTTGAGACAGGGTCTTGATATGTAACCCAGGATGGCCTTGAACTAGAAATTGACCTGCTTCAGTTTCCTGAGTGCTAGGATTATAAACAAGTCTGCTTTGCTATACTTGGCATGAGAAGTTAATTTGTAAAACCAAGACAAGATTATTAGCTAAATTAAAAAAAAGAGTGAATAAATAAAAAAATTCAACCAAAAAGACAAAAATTGTTCTAGAAAGCTTTAGTTGTCAACTTGACACACCTGGGTAGAGGGAGCCTCAGTTGGTGAATTGCCTCCATTGGGCTGGCCTGTGGCCATGTCTGTGGGGTATTTTCTTGATTTGAGTGATGTGGGAGGACCCAGCCCACTGTGGGTGGTACCACCCCTGGGCAGATGGGCCTGTGTTGTATAAGAAAGCAGGTTGAACAGGGGCCAGAGTAGCAAGCCAGTAAGCAGCATTCCTTCATGGCCTGTGCTTTAGCTCCTGCCTCCAGGTTCCTGTTCTGAGTTCCTACCTTGGGCTTCCTCAGTGATGAACTGTGACCCAGGAGATATAAGCTAAATAAACCCTTTCCTCCCTGTGCTGGATAGCTTTAGTGTCAACTTGACACACCTGGGTTGAGGGAACCTCAATCGGGAAATTGCCTCTATTGGACTGGCCTGTGGCCATGTCTGAAGGGCATCTTCTTGATGAGTGATGTGGGAGGGCC